GGAAACATGAAAGCAGGCTTGCATTTCACAGATCACCTTTCACAGGGAGAATCCAAGTATTTGATATCAGCAGAGTCTGTTTTTGTCACTGATTCTTTCTAGCGAAGGCTTACGGGGCCTTTTCTAACTTGGGGAGAGTTGGAAGCATCCCCAAGTGTTCAGCAGACTTCCTTAGTTATAAATAAGAATAGTATAAGAAAGAACTGGGTGTGATGAGTCCTGGGAACAAAACCCAAAGACTTAGTGATGCAGAGAGAGCCAGCGTGGGCAGAAACAAGTGCTCTCCCCGCCAAGTCTTTTGGCTTTCCGGTGAGTCGGCTTTCTGTTCCCAGCAGGCCCCTGATCCCATTCTATGCCCCCGGGATCCCACACCAGCATGGAACACGCCCGGAGTACACGTATGTGTACGTACATGAGCATACACATATGCTTATGGGCACACACCCACGCATGCGCGCGCACACACATGCGCACATACGTGCCCCAGGGTTATCTAGGCTCTCCAGAGTCTGAAGAATTGATGCGTTTCTTACTGGATCTAAACAGGCCCCTAGTGATATATCCACTCAGGCTCTGAGGTCTCTGAAATGTGTCCTGCGTCCCACACACTACTGGTCTGTTGCCTGCCCATCTTCTGACCTTGTCAGCGTGTCCTCCTTTCCAGCCCAACACTCTCTGCCTGGACAAAATTTGGCCCTCAGGCTCCACAGCCTGCAGTCACCCTCTGGCTCCACACTAGGAACCCAACCAAACCAGTTCCAGCCCCTGGGACCTCATGCAGTTTGGATGGCCGGGCAGCCCTGAGCACCTGTCCAGGTGAAGAGGCCTCACTCTGCTCCTCTGCAGCTGCAGCCTCTCCTGAATCCCCACATTCAACCGTTTTCCTCTGAGCTCATTTATAAACGTCACTTTCTCCGCTCCAGGGAAGTGTCATGGTGGTGTGCAGTGACAAGCAAATGGATCTTGAGTCAAATGGCTGTTCTAGTTGTGACACCTTGGGGAGGTCCCATAAGCATCTGGGCCTTGATTTCTCCTTGATTTTAAGCATCCCAGAAAGTGGTGTAGGAGGAAACACTGTGCATTTTTAAAGGAATCAAGCCTTTCTTGCCCTCTCTGCTCGCAGGCCTGCTCCATTTCCATCCTTGTCCCTCACACCACCCTCTCCCTATCAGAAACAATATTTTCATTAATCGTCAGTTCCTCGGGCCACCTATTTCTGCCCACTGGTTCTGTTGTAACAGATTTATGGAAGCAATTAAAGACGGAGAGCATGAGGACTGTGAAGTCCTCAAGAGCAGGACTTGTGCTAACCTCCAAGTCCCTAAGCCAGTGCCTGGCTGAATGAATGAATGAACAACTGAGTGCATGGCATGATGGGCCTGCTACTTAGCCTGGAAAGGATTCCCCATGCTAACTAGACCACAGGCTCCATCTGTATGGTGACCGCAGGGTCCCCAAAGCTTAGCTCTACAGCACATTAACCAAAACAAGATGTGGCGTGCCACAGAAGTGCCCCTGCTTTTGCGCTGCTCATTTTGACCCTCACTGTCCCCTACCCCAGCCAGGACTCTTCCCAGAGTTCATCATCATGGCAGCCAGTTGCTTCAGTCAGAACATGAGGGTTAGAGGCAACATCCCTCTCTCTCTCACCCACCATCATTGAGTCCTAGCGATCCCACACACCAAAACTTCTCTCTCTTGACTACTACCCCTATTTATTTTTTTTTAAGCTAACAATGCGTTTTATTGTTATGAAAACAGACTGAGATTAATGGTGATGCCTGCGTTTGGTTAGCGACTGACTGATGATTTACCCAGGCTCCTGACTCTTTATACTCATTACTGTTGGCTAATTTGACACTTGATTGTACAACATACATCTCCCAGGGGGGATGAGAAGGGAATGCAAAAATAGCAAATTCCAAGCAGATGATTTTGCTACTTTTAGCACTTCAAGGGTTCGTTGAAGTTAAAGAGGAAAGCTATTCGGGAAAATAAAATCAGGGAATTAGTTACCTGTGGATTTCATTTTCTCACATAAGGACTGGTCCCCTCTTATTGGAGGCTAAGTGAAAAGAGACTTGTGGCTAGATGTTGGTCATTTTCAAAAACTTCAACGGCGTCCTCCAATAATTTTATCTCCTGCTTAATGGTGCCATACTATGCTTTTCGCAGTGTTTACATTTCCCATTTCCATGATTCAAATGCCAAAAAATTACTATGCATTCCCTCATACAATCAAAAATAGGTTTACTGGAATGTTTTTAGTTATAGCTGAAGGCAGCAACGTTTGCAACACTTAGCTTTTGTTACACCCATAAACATGTGGCAATTGCTAGCAAAGCAATTGCAATGTGAGAAGCATCTTCCAAATATTGATGCAATGGTTCTGCATCTCTTTTAGCATAATAATCTGGTGCTCTACATAAACTTACTGACCCCCACCTTTTCTGCAAGAATGCAAGCCCTTATGCCATTAAAGCAACAGTAAAAAATATCATTAATCAGTGTTTAACTACAGACACAAATAATGAACTGGCAAGTATCTAGTTTCAAATTAGATCCTTGGAATGTGGCAAAATGGCGGCTGGCTGTCTTTGCCTTAAACATAATTATTAAGGCACATTTTGCAAGAAGGGAAGAAAATAATGGACATTCTCCATGCTCCAATTTGAAGTGACACCTGCCTCTTAGTTTCTTGAACCAGAAGTTTGGAAAGTTATATACCTGGGTTTCCTTTAAATTATGCAGCAATTTTTTATTATTATCCCAAATTTTGTTTAATGAAGATATCTGTCATCAAATCAAGTATGGTATTTTACAACTATAAGAATGACAATCACCAACAAAAGAATAGCAGCAACCAAAGCCATGATGGCTTTTATTTTGCATCCAGGCCAACACATTCGCCTTCAAAGTTTTTTGGATCTGTTGCTAAAAGCGGTTGCATTATCCAATAGGCTTTCTGATTTGTCCTGTAGTTCATCTAATCTCTTCCCTCTTTCCATTACCTTTGTAATATTTTCTTGAATGACATCAATCACTTCATCCACCTGATTCTGAACATGCTTCATTTTATCATTTCTAGGTCCAAATCTTGGTCCGGATGGTCCCCTTAGAAAAAAGTCCTCTTCTTCATCTGCCTCATCTTCCAAAAGATTGCTCCTCTCACTTTTTATAGAACCAGTGACATCATCATCATTTCGGTGGCGCTTGAACTTGGGAGCCATATTTTTTACTCTAGAAGCACTCTTCTACTTCCCAGCAGAATAAGTGCTCACCACCTGAGGCTCCCTGGGAGCTCTTCAGCTCTGGGGGATGGGGGTGGGGAGCAATGGGTGGAGGGTGGAGGGTGGAGGGAGCAGGAAGCCGAGGAAGAAGGTGGGGAGCGGAGCCAGTGGGCACCCACAAGGTGGCTGCAGCTACCACTATTTTTAACCATCTTCATCTTTTGCCTTGTTTACTATAGAATTCTAGATGTCCCAACTATTTGTTCAGCCAGAGTAATCATTTTATAGTGAAAATCAGGTCACGCCATTTCCTTGCTTAAAATCCTTCAGTTATTTCCCACTGCACGTATAGCAACGTAGAACTCATAATGAAATTTTGAGAATAAAATCAAAACTCCCTAGCATGATACATCAATTAGAGTAACGCTAGCTGCTAAAACAAAATAGAATGTGTACACACACACACACCCACACACACAGTTGAAACATAGTAGAAGGTACTTCTCAGTAACCTAGCAGTGCAGGTTGGGTGATCCTAGTCGTCTTATCCTCCAGGATCTAGGAACAAAAGTTCCTTCTATCTTGCAGCTCTACTGGTTTGGAGGGCCTCAGAGACATCTGTTTCTAGCTGGAAGAATGGAAAGAGAATGGAAGGTGGGGGTAGGCCTGCTTCTTTAAAGCCTTGGCCTAGAAATGACACAAATCATTTTGATTTGTTGGCAAGAAGTAGTCATATGGTCACATCTATATGCAAGGGGGGGTGGGGTAGAAGTGAGAATAATGGAGTCCTGATAGAAGGGACAGCATGATTTTTGGTGGAGGTTGGTTATCTCTACAACTTGTGGCACACAAAGCCATCTGTGATCTGACCTGATTTTTCTACTTCATTTGAGGCCACCAACATACCTCTCAGGCTCGGTGGCCGTTCTTCCTTTTTCACCGGATCCCACTCTCTAACTCCCTGACAGCCACCCAGCCACGACACCCTCTTTTCAATTTCTTGAGCACAGCAAGCTCTTCCTGTTTCAGGATCTTGACACATCCTAATTGACTCCAAAATTATCTTCTTCCTTCTCCCCCCACCCTTTTGATTTCTCTGGAATATCTCTAACAATTCCTTCAGTTTCAACTTAAATATACCTTCTTCAGAGAGACCTTCTTGACCTCCGCCACATACAAACTCATATCTGCCCATTATGTTCTCCCATGGGGCCATATTCTTTTTCTTTCTAACACTCATGTAACTAAAAATTTCTTTGTGTGTATCTTTGTTAATGTCTATTATCTCCTACTGGACGCCATGAGGACAAGAACCCATCAGGTTTGCTCATCACTTGGGTTGTGACTGGGTTATGCTCAGGCCCCGGTTCAGCACCATAAATATTTGTTGAATAAATGAATTTATGAATGAGTAAATGCCTTGTTTTCAGAATTATAAAATTAAATTAATGTCAGAAGACAGGGCAGTCTTTTATTTATTTAGCATTTATTATTTGCCCTCACTTGGCTAAAACCTTTATACACATTATCTAAATTTCATCCTCAGGCCAACTTTTCCAGATAAGTATTTTTATTTCCACTTTCTCTATGAGGAATCTGAGGTTCTCGGTTCCTAAGCATTTTGCCACAGTTCAAACAGCCAGAAAGTAGTGAAAGCAGATTTTTATACCCCCAGTTCCTGCTTCCAAAGCACAGAGCTCACTAGGGTTTTAGGGACAGTGTCCTGAAAAGGACTTTGACCAGCAGGAAGTTCAGATGAAGCCAAACTGCCTTGGGCCTGAGCTCTCAGTCTACTCTCCTCCTTTCTTTCTGTGTAGGCAGGTGATGCGGGGTAAGTTTTTTTCGTTATTCTTCTCTTTATTTAAATATGGTTTGGTAAAATTTAAGTATTTCTACCCACTCCACCCACAAAAAGTCCCCCATCCATACCTTTTATGTTTCAGGAAATAAAACTTCTAAAAGGACCTCTCGCTATGAAGTGTGTCCATGTGGAAGGACAAGAGATAATCAAGTACAAGCTTAGCCACTGAGGCCTGAGGCTGTAAGGCCAAGCGTATTCGAGTCTCCGTAAGGATTCCCCCAAGGTCAGCACACAACAGAGGTGCTGGCTGAGGAGCGGACAGACAGTGCCAAACCCAAAAAGGGAGAAAGAAGGACCTACAGCATAAAAGCAATGTCAATGGCTTTACAATGGAAAGAGGACTTTACATCTGCACTGAGAATCCCACTTTGGAAATCTGTCAGGTACCCTCCCGGGCTCCTCCTTGCCTCGCCTCACCCTCAACATGTGTCCGATTACAGAATTCATTTTGTTGCTAAAAGAGGAGGGAGGGCCAGGGAAGTAGAGGTGGGGGAGGGGGTTCAACGTGGAAATGCAGTGGTCAGACCAGGCCATATCTGGCCACCCTGCTAGCGTGACCAACTGTCTTGGTTTGCCTGGGGCTGATTTTAGGACTAAAATCATCGGAGTCCTAGGCCAACCAGGATGAGTTGGTCATCCTTGTCCCTGCTGACCACCCTGAGAGTCACGTGCTCATGCTTTCGCGGCTCGTGTTTTCTAACTCCCAGCCACTAAAATTCAAGACACAGGGGTAACACATAATAAAGCAATTTATGAGAAACATCATCCTATATTTTTAAATAAGCAAAATGTAAGCTAATTCTACTTGGTGCTTTGGAAAGATAGACTAGAATAATTTGCAACCCAGAAATCATTTAAAATTAAATATTAAAATATAAAACTACCTTCACTGAATTTAACATAGGATTTGCACATTTTTCTGTATTTCTGTTAGATTTTAATATAAATTTTATTTAAAAAAAAATTTCTGGCTTTAGAAGGTTGATATTACTGTTTCATAAATAACTGTTGTGACTTCATTGGTTAGTGATTAGCAGAGTTTAAATTCTTAATTTCAATTCAGGTTATTTGTTTACATAAGATTATACAATGTAAGAAAAGGCAGGGAAGCTTGCCATTTAAAAAAATGATGGCATTTGGCAATAACATAACAATACTTTCAACTGTAATGTTTAAATAATATTATCTTATAAAACAAAAACTCTAATAATCTATTCAAATTAGTTAGTGTATAAATATCTATTATCTGCTTTCATTAACATTATTGAATGAAAGCCTTCATTTTATTGAAAAGTGACTATAAATCTGTAAGGTATTAATATGAATTACATTTTATAAAATAGCATTGCTTGAAGCATCAGAAAAATAAAGTGAGCCCAGATTTACACACGTGGATGTTATACATTGGCCAACATGACAGGACTTTATTTAGAGCCTCACTGCTTTATTTAAAATGTTAGAAATGGTAATGTTGGTTTATTTAGATCCTAGATGAACACTGCTAGCCAACCTAAATGATTTTGCATATGTAAATTCTAAGTAGAAAAGTTAAAGATAACCCAGGAAAGAAAAAGTGTAATTTATTTAGCTTCATGACATATATATGCACAGGAAGTGGGTCCCTGCTCTCCATCATGAATGGGAGAGAAGAAAGGACATTCGTGTTCTTGATTTTTTAACCCACAGCCCAACTGGTGTCCTGTTCCTCCCTGGGAAGAGAGAGAAGAGGAGAAGTACAAGCACAAAATGAAGGCGGGAACTCTAGTGCTTCAAGGGGTTCTGCAAATCACAGCAAAAGAGAAAACTCATCCAATTAATGGCACCAGTGAGCTCTTACTTTGATTAGCAGAAAATAAAATGGATCACTGATACTCAAATCATGCTGAAATGTATAATGCCTGTCCTCTTTCTCTCATGTAAATCTCCTTCTGTCATCTCCCTGCAGGATGGCAATTTTCTGCAAAGGAGACAACACCTGTTGGAATGCGTACCTATTTGAGGTGATCTATATCATCATCTGTGATGGTTAATGTTATGTGTCAACTTGGCTAGTCGATGGTGACCAGTTGTTTTGGTCAAACATCGGTGTAGATATTGCTGTGAAGGTATTTTATAGATGTGGCTAGCATTAACAATCAGTAGACTTTGAGTAAAGCAGGTTGCCCTCCATTTTGTGGGTGGGCCCCTCATCCAAACAGTTGAATGCCTTACAAGCCAAGAATGAGGTCCTCTGAGAAAGAAGGAATTCCCCTCAAGATGGCACAACATAGAAATTCTACCCATTTCCAGCTTTGAACCTAGGACTGCAACCTCAACTCTTGCCTGAATTTCCAGCCTGCCCTACAAATTTCTGATTTGTTAGTCACCATAATCACAATCACATGAGACAATTATTTCTTAAAACCTCTCTCTCTCTTTCTCTTCTGCCCCCACCCTCCACCACACACCCCATATATATCCTACTATTGGTTCTGCTTCTTTGGAAAATTCCAACTAACACAACATCCTTCTGTAAAGAAGGTCTAGAACATTACAACCAACTGGTGCCACAAAAGGGCCCTAGTTCCAATCAAGCTTGCCCAAGTGAAGACTGCCAACCTGACTAGGAGGTCCTTCTGCCAATTCTAGCAAATAGAAAAATGGCAGAGTGTAGGATTCAACTTTCCCAAGGCTCCTGGTTTACCAGTTCCTTCTGCTGTAGTGCAGTTGATCTGTTCCTAAGTACCCATAGAAATGACTGCTTCAACTGGATGGGGGAGGGGAATGAAGGAGAGTTTCAGATACTCCATAGCAACATCCTGTTTATCCTGCAGGAATTGTGGTCATGACGATAATTTGTAATACCTGTGAGTGTTTATCTGAAAATCCAAAGGTCAATGACGAGAGTTGGATTACATTGACTTTCTGCTCAAGGGTTAGGGCTTTCTTCTTACTTCACCAGCAATTCCACTAGTTTAGGGCACAAAACCACACAAACAAAGCAGCTTCCTGCTTAGAGGGTTCTTGGCTCCTGAAAGCCACTGGTTCACCATTACCAGGTCAGTTTAACCAAAAGCTTTCACCTAAAGCAAATCTTGTCCCCTCATATTCAATTAGCAGGACAAAACACGCTGCAGGGCAATGGCTCATATTTCAGTATGGGTAAGCCTGTGGGCAGCTTCCGATCAAGGTTCTTTAGTAGCAAGGGAGGCGAGTTTGCTGTAGAGATTTTGAATCCCCTTGTCCGTATTTTCTTTTAGTCAATTCAAAAGCTAGAATCATGGGCTTGAAATGAATTGCCAACCTCAAGAATGTATGGTATATTCCCTTTGATGGGGCAAGTGAAAACCAGAGACCCAATTGGATGCTTCTGCCAGTATCTACTAATGATCAGGCAATTGTATTCTACAAGTAAAGTCTGGACTCATAGATTTGGAGACACACGGGGACACATTTTGCACTCAAGGAGCTCATGCTTTCTGTGACTCTACTTCATATGCCAACCATAGTGAGACGTGGATATATCCCAGAATTCATCCATTCATCTATGAATAGATATTGACTGCCCAACCCTTTTCTAGGTGCTGGACTTTAATACTCATTTTCCCAGAAATCATAGCAAATGGTCTTAACAATCTCTGGCCACAGGAGAGAGGTACATGGGACTCATGAGCTCAGCACCGGAATGTGAGCACACTTGTGACTACAGTGGGACCGAATGTTATTGACTGGCCATGTTCCAGAAAATCTGTATGCAGAGGCCATAAGTCAAATGTCTGATCACCCTCCTCGGTCCAAATTCCCCCAACTTTCTCTCCCGTAAGCTGCCTGATGAGGAGCTTCAAAAGATGAAATAGCAAAGACACAGTTGTGTCCAGACCACAACTGAGCAAAGAGCCTACAACAGGCCCTGAGAATTTTCAAACTGGGTTTTCACCATGAGACATAGTTTACTCAACTACTAGGTTAGAGTCCAGAAAAGAAAAGGAGGGCGCCCTCAAATGGAGTGATGGAGGACAGTGTCAGAAAGGATGAGTTTTGAGGGTGTGGACAGGGCTAGGAAGCCAACAGGGTCCAGTGAAGGAACCGGGAGGAGCTAGTGACGATGGAAACCACTGCCTCCTCCAGTCCTGAGGTAGGAAAGGGAGGGTGCGATGATCTATACAGAAGCTGTGGCCTTTGGGAGAGGGACGCAGCACTCCCACACATGCACCCCTCACCCTCCAGTTTCCTGCCAGTGCTTCCCCTAGCCACACCAAAAAGAAAACAGGGCTGAAGAGATCCCCGCTGCAGTCCACTAGGGTCGGCCTGCTGGGAGGGGCAGATGGAGACTATCCAGCACAGTCGCTGATAACACTACCACCACGAAAGAAGCTCCCATGGCTTGGGTGTGCTCTTGCTGTGTGCCAGGCACTGTCCTAGACACCAGGAAATGCACTCAGGTAAAATGGTTGCGTCACGTAAGCTTCTCCCGAATAAGGATCAGATCTTCAAACTCTTGGAACTCCAGAAACAAAAACAGTATCATGTCCATGGGAAGCAGGAATAAATATTCTTGTCTAGCTATTTAAAAAGAAAAGGAGCCTCTGAACAGGATAAGGGGGTGCGGAGGCACCACTATTGACCAGATTCCTCTCCTTGTGTCACTGGCACAATCCCTGGCGGCCTGGAATCCTAGATTCTGGTCTCCAGTTCGGCCACCAACAAATTACACGTTTTTAAGTACGTTAGCTCCCTGACTCTCTGCATGTTTGTGAAGGCCCATCTACCTGCCCACCTAAAGGAACAGTTGGTTCCCTGCCATTCTGTTCTGTTGACACAGAGTGAATGGAAATAAATGACTTTTCACTTCCCAGTTTGGAGTTTCTAAAATTATCACACTGTCACAAGAACAAAATTCATCAAAGCCCAAGTGAGCCATAAAATGAGCACGCCATGAACTTAACGCTCCTTCCTTGATTCGTAAGACATTCTTGGGTAGGAACGCTAAAGGAGGGCTTGTCTGGAACTTTCTAGATTGCTTCCTGGAGTCACCCCGCTGATTCACATACGCTGATCTTTGTAACACATTGTTCTGTTCACTGATCCTATTGTCAGGCTATAAGTGAAGGTGAGTTTCTGTAACTAGAATTCCCTGCCTACATGGTATGGGAATTTGGTTAACCACTTAGAATTAGGTCGGCCCTGGCAGCATGCCTTTGAAGCAGTGAAAGCCTGGAATTCAGATGAGAGAGAGAGAGAGAGAGAGAGAGAGAGAGAGATCACGTGCTCCCAGAGGCTTCCAGCATTGGTGTTTTCACAACTTGTGTTAAGTGACTAGAGCCCTATCCCTTGACCCAAGGGCTTGTACTCATGAAGAGTGGATGCAGCTGGCTCCAGGCTCACCAGGTGACGACTCATGAGCTACCTGGGAGTTAGGAGGTCAGCACTCTGCTCCTGATCCGTTGATCCAGCACGTGGGATGGGGAAAGTCACACCTGGCTTAAAAACCTGTGGTTCCCATTGTTCTTCCATGACAGGCGAGCGTCCCTGCTCGGCCCCATCTTCCATTGCCTTGCTCTCCACTGGGTAGCTAACGATTGACCCCCAGAGCCCTTCCCTGTTCTGCTCTGTGTGGACCATACAAGCCTCAGCATCCTAGGCTTCCTTGTCTACTGACTTCTGCTTCGATTTGGCCAATGGAAGACATGTATAGGAGACTGGAGGGCCTGAGGAAGGGAGAAGGGAGAAGGGAGAAGCCAGGGTTTCTGCCCCCTTCCTCTGGTTTCAGTCACGTCTCTGGCAGTGGCTGCGTCTATTTTGGTACCAGCTCACAACACCAGCTCTGCTTTTATGTCTCCAGACCTAGGGTTGGTAGCAGCTTCCCCCTGCTGCCAATCTCTGGGTGACCTCACTCTCTCCCCAATACTCTTTTAGCTTTTCCACTACCTCTAGTCAGCTGCACCAAATTCCTGGCGTAGCTGCTGTCTTCCTGTCTGGACCTGACTGCAGCAATGGCCTTGTTGTTACTTAAATGGGCTGTGTTACTCGCTCTTTCTATTGTTCCCTGCAAAGATCCAAAATGCCCCTACACTTTTAACCAATATATCCCTCCCTTCCTCAGGCCTGGCCAGCCCAGAGCCTCCTCGGCTTCAGATTCCTGGAGAGGCGTTTCTTTACAATGTAAACAAGGACCTGGAGTTGGACCCCCCCCAAGGCTGCATGGAGCCAAGTCACATCTACTTTCCTGAATTCTGAAAAGCCCAGGGATCCCAGCGCTTGCACGAAAGGTCACCGCTCATTTTAATCAAACTACCTTGCTCTGCATAGCTGGGCCGTGGCCTTCAGTCAAGATTTCCTGTGTGGCAGATTTTCTCTCCTCTTGGATAACTGTGATATTTGCTGCAAGCATCTAATAGAGCTTGAAATTACTCTGGCGAGTTGTTGATTCTTCTCGAAAGCGGCACTGGGCTCCGTGCGGTGTTTATCTAGCCCTGTCATTGTTTTTATTAAGTAAGCCCTGGTGCTTCCAAAGTGTGTGATAGGCTCTGTAAATATTTTATTAGCCTTAGTAATTAGTCGTTACATCTCACAGCCCTGCTGGGAAGTGGGTCAATGTGACAGGCCCCCTTTGACTGCAGAGGTTGAAGAGATCCACCCAGAGATGGGCAAGGACCTTGAATGTGAGGGCAGAGGGTACGCTCCTCTTGCCAGTGAAAGGCAGAGACTTTGCCTCCTGGAGTTGGTAAGAATCTGATGGTCCAAACGGTGAACAGTGAGAATAACTGTCCATCACCTGCAAAGTGGGTGATAATGCGTCTAACACAGGGCTGTGCTGAGAACCGGATGAGAAAGTACAGGTAAAGGGGATGGCACACAGACACAACAGCACATAGTAGGCCC